TTGTGAACTTTCTGATGTCAGTGAAAATGGATTCATCCCTGTAAGATTTGTTGGTCACGGTGCCCATTTATCCCTTTTCTTCTTTATGAACTGCATGCAAGAGAAAAAAAAATCTGCCTGGCAGGTGCTCTTGAATTCTAGCAATGCTTATAAAGCATCCAGTGGCCTTCATTACATATATGGCTGCTCGCTGTCCCATTCATCACGTTGAATTGCCCGAATGAGTGTCTAAAACAACTGCCTTTTTTCCTTCCTCCAGCGTCCTTGGGGGCCTACAAGTGGCTGGTTTGTTACTTGCTCCGAGAAAGCATCCAGAAACTGAGGAAGCAGGAAGACAGCGGCTGTGCTGATTTTGAGGCAAAGAACAACAGCCAGGTAACTTCCGGTTCTAATTTCAGAGAGTTCTGCCTTTTCCTTCAAGCGATAGTAGCAGCCTCCACTCACTTTAATTCCACAGACACCCTGTGTGGGATAAGCATCAATTCATCTGGAAGGCAGAATGTGTTATATTTGTAGCTCTGCTTTTAAATTGTCATCCTGAAGTATGCTTTCCCTTTTCCCCCACAGGTGTATTACTGTCGTTCATTAGCTATAGCTTTTATTGAACACACAGTTTTAGAAAAGTACCACAAACACGTGCACAGTCCCGACACGCCAGTGAATCTTCAGCCGGTACTAAAGCTTATTTGTTCACTCTACGGACTCTGGTCCTTAAATAAGCACACGGCAACACTCTACCAAGGTGAGGCTGGCTTTATGTCTTCTTGGGAGCTCTATGACCCATAAATGCCTCTTATCAAACACTTGCAATTCACCTTATCTGCTAACCCACTCAGAAATTAACAGTGCCCAAATTATACCATTTAATAATAAGGGTGAAATACATTACATGCCTACAATTTCAGCCTCTTATGTTTTTGCATTTTAGTTTTTAGTCATGCCTCTTTTTCTAAAGGATGAAGTATTTCTCTTGAATAACTTAGAGTAAACTTTAAACCTTCCATTCTGTTACTTAACTTATTTCTAAGTTGTCGCAAGTAGAATCGGGGCCAGACTGAGCTCTAAAGAAAACTGGGAAATTAACTTGCTGCTTGCATGCCTGGCTTGGTTGCTGCTGAACGTTCTAGATTTCCTTGTAAAGAGACGCTGCTCCTTCATAGGCTTGGGACACACACACCTCAAGGCAGGCTATTAAGCAGCGCTTTGGATTCAGGACCCCCCCTCCCCTAAGGTGTAGGCAGGGCCAGGCGGAGGCTGTGGAAAGAGGGGCAGGTGTCTCTTGGATCTGCCTGTCCAGGCCTCCACCCTCCGAGGCACAATTTGCGAATCCCCAGTGGGATATTGTTAAAGAGTCACCCTTCTCCGTGCACAGGTGACGGTCCTGCCCTCAGCCCAGGAAAACCAGCTCCTTCCTCCCTCCCTTCCTTCCTTCCTTCCTTCCTTCCTTCCTTCCTTCCTTTCTTCCTTCCTTCCTTCCTTCCCTCCTTCCCAGTGAGATGTGGGGATCTTTCCCAGTCGTGCAATTTCCATATCCTGAAGTCAGGCAGGTCTCGAATGCAAAGCACTGGAGCATTAATCCTCAGTACAGCACCTTCGGTTTATTTCAGGAATTATTTCTGCATATCGTGTATCCAACAGGAACTTAAAGTGTGCTTCAGTATGAATGAACTGTTTCATTCTGAATGTGTTATTGCTCTAAATACGTTTCAGGTGGCTACATTTCAGGTGAAAATGTCGGTAAATGGATACAGGATTCAATTCTGGAACTTTGTTCAAAGGTATGTGCCAGTAGGGACTACTGAAATCTTGAAAGTTTGGCGATCCCGTCAGATTTTAGTGGACATTTAAGTGCACGGTGTTAACTTCACCATCCATGATGTAAGAGAAGACCCAAGAAGCTCTTCATATCCTGAACCTCTCTGTGTTTAGCTTCAGTGCAGGACCGCAAGCTTTCCACACCCTTTGTGACCTGCCTGCCCTTCCCAGCAAGTCACAGTCAGCTCAGGTCTCTTTACTGAGGGGGAAATTTGGATTCAGAGAAACAAGAGGGATCACTTCCCATCTGCCTCCCCTGAGCTACATTTTCCAATTTCAGCTTCCTTGGTCCAGTTTAGAGAGATTCTTTGGAGCTGTTTGCAATCCCTGTTGGGTGTTATTACCCTTGTGTCATTCATGAAAATGTGTTAGTCAAGTTCTCTGAAACAAAGCAAGTATGGACACGGCTTAAAAACCGAGGCTGGATAGGCCTTTGCCTGATCAATTAGGCTGGTCTTCTACAGTTGTTGTTGCCATGGCCAGTTTCTCTCCTCTTCCCTCTCTCCCTCTCCCTCTCTCCTAGCTGAAGGATGAATCGGTGGCTCTGGTGGACGTCATTGCCCCCCCTGATTTTGTCCTCGGCTCCCCAATTGCCAAGGCCGATGGAGAGGTAAGCAGGGCTCGCCCCTCCTTGGGGGTCTGTCTTCTAGCCCGTCTTCTTGCTTTCTGAATTGCATCACACAATGTCAGAATTGCATCCCAATCTCTGATACCAACTACTTTTTCCTTCCATTAAAACCTATTGCTTTGACCGAAACCTTTCTTGTTTTTTGTTATGTTTTTCCAGCTATATAAAAATCTATGGAGTGCAGTTCTTCAGAGCCCAAAGATCCTGGAAAGACCCTCCTGGTGGTCAGAATTTTGTAACAACAAACCTGTCGTTGGCAAGTTGAGGTCCAGAATGTAAACAGGAAAGCCCATCAAGAGCTGCTAGTGAACCTTCATCACTGGAGGGAAAGGATCATGTTAACGGAAATGAAAGAAGACACCGAGCTTAGGAGAAACAACCGAGCAGGGCCTCCCCGTGGAAGTTTCCCTGAACCGGCTTCTTGTCTGCCTTCAAAATGATGGAATATTCCTTCTCTGCCAGTTCAGCATTCCTTCTCGAACAATAATCTGTTAAAATAGCTTTCTGTCCATAAATTAATGACAATGTTGAAAGCCATCAGCTTTTTTCTTAGATGTCCCTTTAAATATTTGCCTTTGGTCCACAAGATTAATATCATTTTATTCTTCATAATTGTCATTATTTTGCATCTTATATTAGTGTTCTGTCTCACCCCCGAAGGCAATAAAATAAGCAGCAGCCCAATCTTGTAGCAAACAGGAAAGGCATATTTCAGTTCCTCTGAACTGTCAATTGTGGAAGGCTTTTTTCCTTTTTTTTTAATTCTCCGCATGCTTTTCTTTTTAAGAAGTTTTAGGATAACCAACGCTGGAGAGAAAATCCTGAATGTCTCTCTGATTTTCTAGCTGCTAGGTGCCTGGAAGGCTCTGCTAGGGAAGAACAGACTGTCTCCAGAGGAAGGGGACTATGACACCCTGGCAATAGACTTTGCAGGTCCCCACTCTCCCTCTCCTTCCTTCCTTCCTTCCTTCCTTCCTTCCTTCCTTCCCTCCCAGTGAAATGTGGAAATCTTTCCCAGTCGTGCAAGTCCATCCAACACCCTTTTTATTACTGGTCAAAAGTGTCCAGTGAGAGACCCCAGGCACAATCGCCTCCAATTTTTTTTGCCAGTCTGCTTTTGAGACCAGGTTCTTCTTCTTAGCTGTGACTCAGATCAGAAAAACTCTACTTTGAATCAGGAAAGGCAGCCATTTCAGTTCTTAAGCATTATCGACTCACAGGGTTGGAATCTAATCCTGAAGAAGTGGCTGAGGAAATCTGTTTGCTCAGCTGGGATCTATTATGGGCCAACTGCTGCATTCTTAGACTCTGAGGATTCTTAGACTTAGACTCTGCATCCTTAAACTTAGATTCTGGCTCCCACTACCTATAAGGGAAATCTTGTAATCCGTGTCTGGTTGATTCAGTTTTCCATGGCTATGTATGTCTGTACAGTAATAAAAAGATACTACGATGTTTGTTCAGTATGTCCATTCAAATTCACAGCAGCTTACAAGCAAAAAATAAAATTGTCTGGTACCACATGAACACCCACAGTAAGACTGAAAATAAAAAGCATCTGCAACAAAAACATAACAATACTCATGGTAAGATAGAGTTCTAGGGGAACCCCCAACCATTCCACACATTTGCCGCTCTGTTCTGCATGTTGATTTGAGGAAGACATGCAAAGAACTGGGCATCCAATGTTTCTTTCATTGATCTTCAGTTCCTTCTGTGCTTTTGGGTTGAGGAAATTGTTGTTGGATTTATTCCAGGATGAGGACATACGTGTTCTGCTCCAACAGAAAGGATCTGTTGTAACTGGCTCAGTTACATGGAGGAGCATCTAAGGATAATCCTGAGACAGTGACAGTTGCTATAAAAAGAATGTACTGGAAGGCACCCAGCTTCCTTATGTCACGCCTTGTCAAGTTCTCTTGAATGGCTCGGACACATTTGAGCTTTTCTTTCTCACCCTAAGAGAAAGAAGACTAAGCCAAGGCCCAACTCTCTAGATCCTTCAGAACATCTGAAGACTGCAACCGCCCTGCAGTCCTTCATGGACACAAGAGGCTGAAGAGGATGTTGAACAGAATTTGATGAGCCCGCTCTCTGGGAGTGGTAGAGAAATCTTCAGACTAACTGGGTCCCCCACCAAACGTTATTTACTTTTAACTCTTTTTCATATGGAGATCCATCAGTTGCTGCCTCAGGTAACATACACTGCAAGCACCATTTCCCAAACCTGGAACTATTAAAATTGGAGCATGAGAAAATGTTAAGCTTCAGTTTGTATATTATTTTAGCATATTTATTATTTTCAGTTAGATGCTTTCATTTGAACACGATCACCGTTCGCTGACTTCAACTGTTCTGTGGTTTCATAGCCAGCTCCTTCAAGGATCATCCCGATGCCCTTTTTTTTCTTGACTTGGTCCTTATTTTGGGGGGGAAATGGGTGGGGAAAGAGGAGATGCCGAGCGCTGCAGGAACTGAAGCTCTTGGCCTCTGGTGCCAGAAAAAGGGGGGGCTGGTCTCTGCTCCTCGCAAACCCCCCTCCCCAGCCAGTGTCTAGAGGGAGAGCCTCATGGGGCCTTCCTCCTGGGAGGCTGGTCTGGAGAGAGGTTGATTCTGCAAATATTTAGCTCCGTGGCAAAGGCTCTGGCTTTCTGGTAGAAGAAGAGGGACATCTCTCGGTCGATAAGGAAATTGTGGTAAATTATGGCCAGTCTGGTGTAAATCTTCAGTTGTGCCTTCTTGTTCCCCAAGTCCATGGCAGCAGCCAGGGCCAGATTATAGTATCCTGCGGCATCAAAAGGATCCTGAAACATCAAGCAATAGAGGGACTGCGGTTACCTTTTTTAAAAAATAAAAATAAAAATGGAAACAGGCTGGTTGGTAAGTCAAAGTCTAGGAAAACAACAAGGGGATTGCCCAGCAGCTGTCCAAATGAAGTCAGAGACGCTGACACGAACTTGCCGTTTTATGTAAATAATTATATTTTACATCTATGAGGCCAACAAAGTAGTCAGGCCAACAGGAGCATCATGAGGTAAACGCCAGAGCACCCAGAAGAAAAAAGGCGGGGAAAAAGGGCAACTCCCCCTCCACACCCACAGCAACCAATCACAGAGCCAGCACTCTCCAACCAATCAACGATAATAACTCCGTGATCTGGCTCACTCTTGGCTCCTCCTCCTAGCGGCTCTGCTTGGCTCTGCTCTGCAACCCGGAAGTTGGGAGCTTTGGACGTCTTTGCCCATTGACACCCGCAGAGGTGACGCAGCCACAACCTCCCTCCGTTATTCTGCAATTTTTTGCTTTAACAAAAAGACGTAGCCTTCCCCCACACACACAAACACACACATCTGCCACTGAGATTTGGCAAAGGGGGCAAAGCTCATTCTGGGTCAACGTTTCAAGAAAGGCCAAGAGCGCCTTTTGGGGTCAGCCTCCTGCCCCCCCCCCCGCCTGCTTCTGCCAGGAAGGGGGCAGACGACGTTGGGGCCTCCAACTGCTTTATTCCCCGCTCTGACCCTTCTTCCCCTGGGTCCCCTCGCCATGCCCCTCGTCTGCCTGCCATGGGGTCACTCCAGCCATCCCAGCCCCTCAGGACTGTCCCCCACTTTCTCCCTTTCCTCCCCTGGCTTCTTCCTGAGTGTAATCTCTGCATGTTGGGGATGTCACAGGAGTGATAACAGGCCGGGCTTCTCTCCTGGCTTCCCAAGCAGGTGGCGGGGAGAGGTGAAGCTTCCTCAGCCTGCAAAGAAGGCAGGAAGGTGCAGAAGAGGTGAGTGTGTGTGTGTGTGAAAGAAAGGTGTGCAAGAACAAGCATCTGTGTAATGAGGACGGCACATTCCCTCATCTAAAATTAGGAGGCTTTTTCTACAAAAACATTTTGCACCTTTGAACTATTTGTAAGAGGCTGTGGACTGAAGGCCGCAACTTGATTGCGCCTCTCTTGTACACAAATTCTTCAAAAGGGGCGAATGCACGGCGGGGGGGGGGGGAGAGAGGACAGAGGCATCAGTCACTGGGGGAAATAGCATTGGAAAAACAACCACAGCCCGAGTTCTCTAAATCAGCAAGGCTTCCTCATCAAATTAAAGGGGAGAGGGACACAGGGAAGCTGCCATTAAGAAGAAGTTATGAATCTTGGGAGATACAGACCAGCCCCTGATGAGCTGCTTCTTGTGGATCTCTGCCTTTCTGGTAAGATGATCCAATTTATTTTGGGCAAAACATGACAAAGGCCACCCTTAGCATAAACTGTTTGAAATCATCCCAGCTTCTCCTTCTGTTCTGGTCTGTTCTCCCGTGTCTCCCTTCCGAAGTAAAGATTCCACAACCAGGTGAAGCAAAAGGGATTTCCTGTCTTCAGGTTCTCATTCCTGTCTTACCTTCAGGTCGTAGAAGGTGATGTCTCCCAGGAGAAGGTACACTTTGACATAATAGAGGGCTTCCTCGTCAAACTCCAGCGGGGAGGGGCAGAGGGAAACGGCTTTGAGGAAGAAATGCTCAGCCAGTTCACACTGACCCAAGTGATGGTGGATGACCGCCAGGCGGTGGTAGGCCACTCGCTCACTTAGCTGGTCTCCTAGCCAAGAAGCAGAGAGAAAACCAGCCATCAAAGAGAGGAAGACGGCAGGCAGCAGACCAGGGATGGTCCTGGTTCACCATGTTTGGGAGTGAACAGCAGACCCAAAATATGCCACCAGGAGAATTTTTCCTTAACGCAGGACTTGGCTCTTTGCTTGTGCTGAGATACCTGCTTCGATAGCGGCAATAAAATCCATTAAAGTTGGCCACTATGTTTGCTTCTACAGAGGATTTCCAAGGATGACAGGAAGCATAATTTCCCAGAATAGTTTGGATTTTGACTCGCCTGCTTGGCAAAATACCAGCTGCCAAACAGTCTTTGAAGCCTCCAAAACTGGCCCTTGAGATGTTGGTCCAGCCTGAGACATGGGGCTGGGCTGGGCTGGGCTATTGGGAGTAGGGGCTGAGGGAAAAACAATCTCAAAAGAATACCGAATGTAAATACTTTAAACAACTCTGGCAAAACCTGTCAGTCCCTGGATTCAGCCCTCCCTTTTCCCCTCTTTTCCACCCTGTGCACCGCAGAAGCATTTGTGGAGACTGCACTGACACAAGGCCAACAATGCGTCTCTTTAGCTACAACCCTGAATCATCCTCACGGGACTGAAGGTGGAATCATGGCAACTGGACTAGTTTTTTCTTAGCTTGAGACGTTTCGCTGCTCATCCAAGCGGCTTCATCAGCCAGAGCAAGTCAGGTGAGCAGAGAGTCATTCAGCCTTCAGACACCTTTGCCTGCACGACGGAGAGTCTTCGTCGACATATTGCAATGTATTTTGGGGAGAAAACCCCTGAGGCTGGTGTGGCAGGCGATGGTACATTTCAGGGATTCTCTGCCTAACTAGCTTGCTCTGACTGATGAAGCTGCTTGGGTGAGCAATAAAACATCGGAAGCTAACAAAAAAAATAGTTGCCACGATTCAACCTTCAGCCTGGATGACCGAGAATCTTCATCGACACCCCCAGGTGACTTTCGGAAATGCACCGGACAGGTTTACCTAAATCGACACTGAGGATTAACGACGTCTGGGCGTATCCGAGGCATTCTTCATACTTCCGTAAGGTCAAGAACAACCCAACCAACTTGTTGAAGAGGCGAAGTTCAGCGCTGCCATTTTTGGCCTTCGTGGCGAGTGGCAGAGCCTTGTCCTAAAGCAAGAGCGGGAGAAGAACACGAAGGGCCGTCTCGCGGAGTGTAACGTCACAGAGGTATCAATCACCCAGCCTTATCTGCCCAATGTCTCAAGGACGACCCGTGAGAAGGTGGGAAGAGTATACCCACCCTGTAGAAGGGCGCTGCCCTTTCCTTGTCCCACTGTCCGTTGAAAAATATGTCTCCTGAGGCTTCGAGCATTTCCATTTCTAAATTGGGGTCCTGGGAACTCAGAGCCGTGTTGTAAGCAACCTAGGAGGAAAGGAGGGTTCTACCAGACGGAGCAACACAAAAGGAACAGTTCCAACAGGAGCACTACACAACCAAAAGCTGCTTCTAATCCACTTTTTTTCCCTTCTTCCAGTGTTCCATAAATAAACCTTATGGAATTAGAACTACTGCTAGCCGCTTCTCCCCGATGTCACATTTTACATTTGAATAAGAACTGGGTCATTTCCTCTTTGCTGGAAATGTAGAAGATCTTCTTGAATCACTCCAAATCCCATCATTTCAGCTAAAAGTGGTGACATCTTGAAGATGCTAAAGGCACCACAGAGAAGACGGTCTAGGCAAGAGCATCTGGAAGAATCCATGGGGGCTGTGATTCAGCACGTGCTAGTGGGACCCGATCTAAAATAAGATTCCCACGTCTAATTGGCTGTCCGGAGAAAAGCACACTTGCATGCAATTTTTCAATTGAAAGGGATAGAATTTAAAGGAGCAATGGACACTTCCAGTGAGAGGAACACTATCTATTACAAATTGTGAAAGGGATACATAGTTAGAAAGTGTATGTTTCTATTCATTAGAAAAGTATTTATAATATTGAGATATATAGAAATAATAGGTAGAAAGAATTAGTTGCAAGCACATTTGCTCCTCCTGAGAAAAGTAAACTTAGTAAATTTCAGAGGGCATCATGGAAGACCCATCTCCTACTTGTACGACAGCTCATTTTAAAAACAACCGAATGACCATCTTTTGATTTCAAAAGATGCTGGCTGAGGAATTCTGGGAGTTGAAGTCCACAAGTCATAAAAGGGCCAAGTTTGAAGACCTCTGTTCTAGGCAGTTATGTCAAATTTATTACACAGGTAGCCCTTGTTTAATAACCACAATTACGACCAGCAACTCAAGTTATTAAGTGGTTGCTAAGTGAAACCATGACCGTGTTTATGGTCTTATTTCAGCTTTCCTTTGCTTTACAGACTTGCAAAGGTCATAAATGCAAGAATTGGTCACAAAGTTACTTTTTCACTGTTGAAACTGTGAGTAGTGACTTAACGAGTCAGTCACTAAACAAGGACTATTTATGTAGCATGTTGAAAGATACGCACTTAATTTAAACCACCCACTTGGTAACATTTGAAAAACACTGAATCACCGAAACACATACTTCTAGATTTGCTGTCACATCTTTTTCCTTTTTCAGTTAAAATAACTGAGGAAACGTTCAGCTTCAGTGACCTCCCCAGATCCTTCCTCTTACCTGGATATAAACGTCAACTAATTCATTCTCCCGCAGTGCGTAGTAGATCTTTCCTGCCTGGAGCCAGGCCTGGGCCTCCTTGTTTTTGGCTTGAAGATCGATGAATATCCCAAGGCTTCTCTTGAGGTAGTCCAGGGCAGAACGGCAGGCCCTGAAGCGGACAGAGAAACACCATCCAGCTGACCTTGCACTGTCATTCTCAAAACCTCTGAGGACCAGCCAACAGATTACTTTGGTACGTTGTGGATCCTTTAGTTTAGATCCTTCTGCCATACACAGGAGACCCGTGAAACCAAAACCACGTTTGAGAAGCTTCCCGTTCAGTTCAGAACTGAAGACGCTTCTTAGATAAGAAGCGAAACGTTGTCAAAGAAAACACTAAGAAAGTCCAGTTGCCTTTTGGAAAAAAGCACCTTTGGGAGTGACTGGGGAGAATTGTGCATTCAGACTTGCAAGATCCCGTTGACGTAGCCTTTACCATAAAGCAGAATTGGCTTATGCAGCCATGTTTCCTATCTGGTCTACCTGGAAGGCTAACATCAATCTTGCAAATCTGAAAGTACAAAACTCCCACTATCACCATTACAGCCTGATAACTTAAGAGAGACTCTGTCCTGAGCCAGTTGCTCTATCTGCTGTGGGACATTCTCCCTCTCATCAGCTGTGGAAACCATTCTGGTTAGAAACGGTTTGTTGGAGACTGTGATCAAACTAGCAACACTTGGGCAGAAATATTACGAGATCTATAGTAACATCATTAACACCAGCCCTGCAAGCTAGAGATCCTCATGCAGAACTGCAGTCAATCAATCTCTCCCTGCTGGTGGAATTTTTTTCTGGCATGGTTCCTGCACCACACAGGGATAAAAGTGGAGCACATAAAGCTCTCAGTATGAGAGAATTTAGAAAAGCTCCACCAGTTGAAATTCTGCTTGTCGTGAAACTCATAAAGTCAGAAGGAAAGTGGCAGGGCAGGGTCCTCCAGGGCTTTCCCTGCAGTATCAGAAGCCAGGTCTTCTTTCTGTGGGTCTCTTAACTCAAAAGACCGGAATGCCTGACCCCCCTTAGAGAGAATGTAGGCATCCTGCAGCAACTGTGAGGAAGGGCTGGACAACAGACAGCTTGTCCAGCAGAACTCATGCCAGGACAGGGTAAACTGGCTCGCGATGATGGAAACTTTAATCCCAGACCTCAGAAGAGGGCCTGTTCTTGGGATAAAACAACTTTTTGTCCGGAGGAACAGAGCCTCTTCTGCCTGCAGAAGGGCACTTTTGTGTCCAGCTCGCTAACGAAGTGGCCGAGTGACAAAAACCTCTTCATCTGAAAGGGAGAAGCATTGCAGCTCTTACCTTTCTGTTCCCAGAGACAGATAGAGCTGGCTGATGGTCTCTAGCACCTGCCCTTCCGTGACCTTGTCAGACATCCTCCTAACCAAGGTGAGCTGATATTCGTTGTAAAGGACACACTGCGCCGGATCTGGGACAACCGTGCTGTAGAAATGACACAGATGCTGGACAGCCTGGAGTTGCCCTAGAAAGGAGGAGCGGTTGACCCATTAATGCGGCAAAGTCTTTCAACAACAAGACACCTTCAGCCCCCACCACTTTTCATCAGCCTGCAGAGCAGCCATTTATGTGTGTCAAGGAAGAAGGCATGAGAAACTCAGTCTCACTCTACACAGAGCCTTGCTCAAAGCATAATCCGAAGAATTTGCAAAGTTTTAGAAGCTTACAAGTCCTTTGGGTATTGAAAGTAAGAATACGAATAATGGGAGGAGGAGGAGGAGGAGGAAGAGGGGGCAGAAGCTGCCACCGTCTCTTCCTGTGTCTTCTGTCCCTTTATAGTTCCAGATCATAGCAGAGGGAGAAGCGGAGGCAGCAAGCAGACGTGCCTTGAAATGTGTGCCTGAGCAGACAAAAGAAACCTGAACAACACCCTCAAACCATAAGATATCCAGCTTAGCTCCTCCGAGCAGTGGTTCTTCACCGTGGTAGCTGGGAAAAAGCTGCACATTATTTATCCTAATTGTGAACCAGGGAAATGAATTTACCTTCCACATCCTCACGTTCCATCGCGACCAGAAAGGCCCACTCATAGCAACTCCGCCCCTTCTCCTTCTGAACCCCACGGGCATAGTGGTGCCCCAGCCGGAGGAGGATGGCCACGAAGTTCCCCCCACATTCTCCACTGGAGAGTTGGGAGAAGAGCTGGATGGCTTTGATCAAGAAACATTCCCCCAGGCCTTGGGCAGACGAGTGCAGGCACAAGATGCCCAGGTTGGCCAAAGCCACCGCCTCATTAGCCACGATTCCCATCTCTCTGGAAATGCTCAGAGCTTTGAAGTAGCTCTCCGCGGCTCGCCTGGGCTGGTTCCGCCGTCTCAGACTAATGGCCGCCATGTTATGGATGACACCCAACTGCTGGCGGGTGCTCCAGGGGGACTCTGTGACCGCGTTTAAAATGTGCAGAGCCGTGTCGTTCTGCTGAAGGAGGATGTAGAGCCAGCTCAGGAAAATGAAGTGGTCAACAGTGTCTTCCACCTGTGCACTCGTATTCAGCTCTAGAACCTCCTCCATGTAACCGATGGCTTTTTCGTACTGCTTGTATCGGCTATGCAGCTGAGAAAGTTCATAGTAAATGATGCTGCACAGTTTCTGGCTGCCCCTGCTCCCTTCCAGCTTGCTAAGCAGTTCTCTGAGGTAAAAGGCCATGAGGGAAGGGTGCGTTTGTCCCCCAGGTGTGGGACTGTGGACTGCGGAGGCGTTCCTTAACACCAAATCGATGCTCCTGAACAGCTCCTGCAGAGAACAGGAGCTGTGGGAAGTCACCACCTTGGCGCAGCTGAGCGCAAGACGGGGCAGGCACTTCTTGCTGTAGAGTTGGCCAAGTTTCAAGTAGCAGTCCACGGACCCCCTGCTGTTGGGCAACCCCTGGCCCATATTCAGCAGCTGCTGCAGCCTTTCCAGGAAGGGGGCCGGTTCCTGCCCTTGCTTGAAGCTCAGGCAATGCTTTGCCAGCAGGAAGCAGGCTCTGGCCTCGGCGTTTCTGCTCTGGCTGAGCACGGCCCTTTTCAAGGCATATTTCAAGATCTCCAGTGACATCTCTGCACCGTCTGTGTCGCTGGCCATGCCCATCAGCAAAGAGGCAGCTTTGTCAAGGAAGCAAGCACTTTTTTCCACGTTCTTCTGTTTCAGGTAAATGCCTGTTAGATGGATGTAGAGAGTAGCTACCAAGTGGAGGTCACGGAAATCCCCCCGTAGGGTTGCCAGAGCTTCTTCAAAATACACCCGAGCCTGAGACAGCTTGAACTTCCGGAGACTCATTCTCCCCAGCAGGTAGCACAGCCGCGTCACGGCCCAGGGCAGGTCGGCTTGTCTGGCCACTGCCCGGGCTCGAGCCAAGAAATCCATCAGCTCTTGCTCAGTGGCATCACCACGGAAGGACATCTTGAGAAAGGACAACGGAGGGTCGTAGAGGCCCCCAAAGCCATCTTTGTAGCCTTCCCGATTCAAAAATGACAATAACGAATCAGGAATTTCTGGCCCCAAAGTACCATCCTGGCACACGGAGAAACGTGGCTTCTGCAAAAGGGGAGGTTCCTCCCGCGTGTCGGAAGTGGGGAGCTGCTGCTTCTTGTCCTCAGTCGGTTGAAAGTCCTTCATCTTCATTAGTGATTGCACCGCTCTGCATGGAATTGGACTCTCCTTTTCATTAAAGAAGAAGGAAGGTGGCATTTCTGAAAGACAAAAAAAGAAGAACTCCCAGGGTTTGTTGTAGGTTGGATTGCTCCTTGACAAGTTTCCCTCTGTTGCTTCTTGTCTTTCCCTCAGGCCCTTTGGAGAGTAGGTTGAACCCCCTCACTCTTCTCTGTGGCAGCCCCTCAAACATCAGAAGACTGCTATCATGTCACCCCCACTCCTTTTCATTAGACTACATATAAAACATAACTTCATTAGGTATCTTCATTAAAGGTACCACGTAAAGCTTCCATCATGCATCATGTCAGCCCAATGTTTCCTCCTCCACCTTGTTTTACACTTAAAAAAAGGGAAATGTTCCCTCCCTGTTGAATATTTACAGCTTTTACCTTGTTCACGAGGTTTTTGAAGGCCAGCGTCATTCTCTGCATCTATGAGATGAGACAAACGAGAGCATTGTTCAGGCCATGTTTGGCTCATTGACTGTCTACTGTGGGAGGCCTAATACTGCAGTGAGACTCAAACTCCCCTCCTGGTACATCACAGGGGACTCTGCAACAACCTGGGGACAGTACGTGGCAGTAAGCAGACCTTCCAATTTTTCTTAAGTGCAGAAAAGTTGAGAAATGACCTATTAAATCCTTTGAAATTGAGGAAAATCATATTCCGGCTATATTCATTCTCATTTAAGTTTCACTCTGCTGAAGTATTCAAACGATTGAATCTTTAAATTCACGCTCATTCAGTTCCTTGAGCTGGAGGCTAATGAAATGTAAACGATATATAACTTGGTAGTCCATACAGCCACTTGTATTTTTCTTTTTATCAAAATGTCAAGTCCAAGAGGCGCCCAGAAGCCTTGCACCTACTTTCCGCACAGGAACAGCTCACCAATTCGATAGATGCTGCAAATATTCTCCTGGGAGGTTTGTGTCAAGAGCCTGGTCAGGTTATCCAGAAGGGATTCTTCTTTCGTGAAAGAGTCATCGTCCTCCTCAAAGAAATCCATGTATGGAAGTCTGAGAAAGGGAAAAATATGGCAACTTTAGGACATGTATGGCTTTCCAGGCAGGTCCTCCTTACCAAAAAAAATGAGGAGGAGCAAGGAAGCAGTGTGAAAAGTAGGGAAAAAATGGGAGATGGGAAGTTAAAACTGTTGGCGACATTATCCTTAAGAAAAGTCTGCTGATCAATCCCAAGGCTGTTGTCCTGTGGGCTCTCATCAAGGTCCCATTGGCCATCTTCCTTGGTGCAGAGAAAGGGACACAGATGGTGGCCAACAGATTTGCTTCATTATCACCAACCCAGGTCAGAAACAACCTTTTCTGCCTCACTTGACGTGATACATGATAAGTGTCATTGGCTTGAAGGGTGCTTACTCTGCAGTGATGGCCACAAAGCCGTTGGGCTCCACACAGCTGCTCTGCACAAAGCCAACCTGGCCTGTAGAGAGTTGCCTTCCCACAAACCAAGGCATGCATTTCATGAAATAGCCCATGATTTCAATTGTGTCTCCTTTTTGGAAACTGATCTCGTCCGGCACAACGCTTTCATGGCTGACGACTGCGGCAGATAATCCTGTGGCTGGACGATACAGAATTAGGAAGATATCAAACAAGTCCATAACATGTCGGAGATGTTAATTTTAATGCTACAAGTTTCACAGGGAGTAACATTAGAAATAGGAGGTCATTAAACCCATCCAGCTTAAACATGGAGCGTATTTCTTAGTGTATAACAACAACCCTTGCAATAACCAGAAAAAAAGACCAGATAGAAATAATAAGCTTTGAACATTCCTCATATAGGATCCTGATGATCAGGGCAGAGGAGGCAAAGGCAACTGGGGATCCCATCACAGTGCCGTGCCTATTGGGGCAAGATGGAGGTCAAATGTTATGGTGAAGAGACCTCTTCCAGATGCAGAAGCAGAAATTAAAAGTCCGATTTTAATTATTGCTCCTTACCTGCTTGATCTGTGACTGGAAGTGCAGTTATGCAGGCAAACCCGTCAGAGGCTGCATTTGCTTTCAGAAACCATCTACAAATTCAAGAAAATAATATTCAACCAACCATAAATGGCATCACTGCAATGCGTTGAAGACAAGCTCAGTCTCCAGAGCTCTCGTTCAGACAGAGAGAAGCTCCGCAAGGGAACTCGGGTACCTACTGGTGGAAAGGCACCGAGGGCTCCAAGACATCTGTGGTGCGGCCGTTCCGGACTTGCTCTGGAGCTGCCGATTCCACCTGGCAAATGGCACTTCCATCGGCTATATCAACGTTCTCAGGACAAAACCCCAAATAGGCACCTGAAGGGGAGAAAACACCACATGAAACAGGGGGGAAAGTTTGAAGTTGTGGCTGCGGTTGTCATTCATCAAAGAGTAACATTATGCCTTGCGTACTACTTGTGGGAGAGTGGAGGAGAGAGACCTCATGATTGAAGTAGCTCTTTTTCCCCCAGGTGGAGCAGATGGGCTGAGAGAATAACCTTGGGAGACAGGAGGAAAAGCTACAGCCAGGACAGCAGTTAGACAAGGGATATCTCAGCCCCTCAAGCTAGTCCAGAGAGGAAACCAAAATCATGAGCAATAACACTCCCTTTAATGTAAAGTTAGAGTAACAGGGTCTTGCAAGTCTGAAAGTGCTTCCCCCCTCCCCTGCCTAGGGTGGGTCCCTTCTGAGACCTCACTTCCTGCTATCCCTCCACCTGGTACCAGCCAGTCCTTAGGCCGATTGTTGCGCTTGTATTTGAGGAATCGGGCCAGTCCTCCCCAAGGAAGGGCTTGGGAGCTGACTGGGAACAAATTCCGAGCCAGAATTCCTGATTTCTCAGCCGCCTTGGAGGTCTACTGTGGCTTGGACTGCAACAAGGACCTTGCTCAGCCACTAGTCTCTCCTTGTTTCTATGGGAGCCCAGCAGCTATTTTAGTGGCAGGAATGAAAGCTTTTTCCTTTTCCTGTTTGCAGCTTCCCTCTGGTGATGGAGAGATGAAGCAAAGTGCTGACAAAAGGGGGGGGAACAGCTCCCCATTTAATTTTTTTATGGGCAAAGATTTTGAATTCTCAGGAGGGATTTTTCATCAGTTCTTTAGCCAGAAAGACTGGCCTCAACTGCAAGATGGAAGTCAAAGAAGACCGGAGAGTATCTTGTATAACTAAATCCTTATTCTTCATGGTGGAATCGGGGGGGGGGGGNGTCAGCGATGGAATCAGCTGACTATGCCGAGGCGCTGGCATCCACAGCCACTCGGTCTTGGAAGGGTTGAGTCTGAGTCTGTTCCTCCCCATCCAGACCCTTACGGCCTCCAGGCAACGGGCCATCACGTCAAGGGCATCGTTGGGGTGGCCTGGGGTGGAAATGTACAGCTGCGTGTCATCAGCGTACTGATGGAAGTACTGATGAAGCTGTCCTTGGACGGGGAAGGAATAAGCAGGAAGGACTTTCACAACCCTAGAAGTTCTGTCAATCGTTTCTCTCGGCTCAGAGGTTGAGAAAAGTAGAAAGGGAGAAGAGGGGCAGTCGGTGCAGCAGAGTCAAACAAATCTACCCGAAACCACGGTTAGATCTCGGACTCAGGGAGGTGGATCCAGTCTGAATAGTTCTGGCCTCTACCCCTGAAAACCCCCGGTGTGAAATTGACTGAGGCACTATCAGACACAACATTTAAAACTGGATCTTTAAATTTGCATTTCTTAAACCACATCTTCATATTCACAGGACCAACAAGCAGCAAAACACCAAACGTTCTTGTGTGTGGCTTTACCAAGAGAATAGTAAGTTATAAACTTCCAGATTTCCTCCAAGGTCCAAAACGTGATGGCAATGAGGTGGTCTTCACTGCGGATGGACAGCAACCTGGCCGACAACTCCTGAGGAAGGCAAAGAGGAACCGGGCATTTCTTCTGGGAACAAAACTAGTAAATCTTTGAGTTTAAGTGCAAGAAAGTCATCGTGGCAGCCTGGTTCTGTATTACACCTTTGCTCCCTTCTTGAAAAACGGCACAGATATGGCTGGCCAAAAACGGAAATAGACTTTTGCAGCTAATTTCTGTCTTTCACCGGCCCGGTTACATCTGCTCTTAAAAGTGTTTAAGTTTGGTAATCATTATTCCATTATGCTGTATGTTTAAAAAAATCTATTTTCTGAATGGGTTAAGACAATTGCATAGGTAGAAATGGACACTGACCTCCATATAAAGCGCTCTGTAGAATCTTGTGAGACAAAAGCACCTCTAAATCTCTTTAGGAGAGAGAGAGGAGAGGGGATGGGGGACCAAGAAGAAAGAGGGGCTCACAGGTCAGGAGGTCCACAACCACTGATCTCACTGTGGCTTCTACTAGCCAAAGGTTCCAGGATCCCAAATTTGGGAAGAGCCCTCGGCTCCTTCCCACGTCGATCTTTCCAAGCACACAAAGGGGAACCGCAGAGGAGCCTCAACCGCCTCCCTCCCTGCAGCTGCCAAACATTCAGGAGAACTTCTGACTTGTGGGAAAAGAGGCCACGGAGGCACCGCCTGTCAGGAGGAGGAAAGCCGTGGCGCAGATGTCCCGTCTCCTCTCCACACCACCCTGGAAATAGGAAGGGAGGAGCCACTGGGTTCATAAGGCGAAGGCTGTCTTTCATCCCACTTTTACAAACTTACACTAAAGACCGCCACGGCCCCTTGGCTGTCGTTCTCCAGGAGACGGAGTCTTCCCTGCAGATACTCCTGCAGCTGAGGATCAGGAAGGCCCGTCCGTCGTCTGATCAGGGTTATCCTCAGGAAGAGAGCTGAAAATGTCAGGTTTACGGGTGATGGAAACGTTCCCCAAGAACAGCCGTTCAGTTTTCCTTTCGCCCTCTCCCTGCTGAGGGCAGTGGCGCTTCCCGGTCTGTTGAGGGCAAAACCCCACCTCCGTTTCTTTTCTTTGGGGCAGCTATGGGGCTCAGGTGTGAGCAAGGGAATTTCACTTTGTGTTGCAAAAAGTCAGAAAACAGGTAAGTGAAATAACCACTACATTTCCTGAAATGAGTAATAAAATCTCCCCTGCAAACCTCTCCAGAAAAGGAGACCAGCAGGAGGGTCCCTTGGTGTAGAGAGAGATGGAAAAAAGCCCCCAGCCGGGCAATGGCCAGATCAGAGGGTCCTGAGCCCTGGCCAAGAAACCCACTTTGGGAAGCATCTCAGACCAGCCCTTCCCCAGTGCCCACGAAGAGACGGGGAGGGAGGGGAAGCACTTTCAAACCCGCCCAGAGCTCTTCCAGTAGATGTAGACCTGACCCTCCATGGCATTGCTCTCCTCATCTGATGGACCTGGCCTGGCTGAGGCCTGGTCTGGTCTGCCCAGCAGAGCCCCAGGTTGCCAGCAAGAGAATAAAGACCTTCCCCCAAGCTCTGAATACTCCCCCCCATGGACTGCTTGACCCCCTTCTCCCAGCACTGAAACTGCACATCAGAGCTTAACTTTTCCGCCCTTTGAGGAACTTAATCTCCATTGCAGACTTTATTATCTTCGGCGTATTTAATTAAATACTCTCCTTTTGCTATAAAAAAATTTTTATAGCCTTGAGTGCTTCCAGGGTAGGAAGACAGGGAACCAACCCAAAAATAAAAGATAAACATTATAAACATTTAAATACCATTCCCGTTCCTTATGATAAAAGTATTTATCCATATTTATTTTTGCCTGATTTTATGTATTACTTTAGCTGATACCCATCTCTCTTTGCTACAAGCCATGGGGTGGTAGGAATTGTGCCCTGCAGCAGGTTTTAATTTGCTGAATCACAAAAGCTTTGGCATCTCAAATTAGCAAAACGGTTATGCAGTGTCAGAAAATGAGATCACAAACTTTCACTCTGGCCAACCAGAGATTATATGGGGGGGGGGGGGGGGATCCCNAAGGAGATCCGGAATCATCCGGATCTCGGGGGGTAGTTCGTTCCAGAGGGTGGGGGCACCCACAGAGAAGGCCCTCCCCCTGGGGGTCGCCAGCCTACATTGCTTGGCCGACGGCACCCTGAGGAGGCCCGCTCTGTGGGAGCGTACCGGTCTATGGGAGGGAATCTGTGGCAGAAGGCGGTCTCGGAGGTAGCCAGGAGGGTCCTGAGCCCCGGCCAAGAAACCCACTTTGGGAAGCCTTTCAGACCAGCCCTTCCCCAGTGCCCACGAAGAGAAGGGGAGGGAGGGGAAGCACTTTGAAACCCGCCCAGAACTCTTCCAGTAGATGTAGTCCTGACCCTCCATGGCATTGCTCTCCTCATCTGATGGACCTGGCCTGGCTGAGGCCTGGTCTGGTCTGCCCAGCAGAGCCCCAGGTTGCCAGCAAGAGGAATAAAGACCTTCCCCCAAGCTCTGAATACTCCCCCTCCCCGTGGACTGCTTGACCCCCTTCTCCCAGCACTGAAAAGTCAGAGCTTCACTTTTCCGTCCTTTGAGGAACTTAATCTCCATTGCAGACTTTATTCTCTTCGGCGTATTTAATTAAATACTCTCCTTTTGCTATAAATTTTTTTTATAGCCTTGAGTGCTTCCAGGGTAGGAAGACAGGGAATCAACCCAAAAATAAAAGCTAAACATTATAAACATTTAAATACCATTCCCGTTCCTTATGATAAAAGTATTTATCCATATTTATTTTTGCCTGATTTTATGTATTACTTTAGCTGATACCCATCTCTCTTTGCTACAAGCCATGGGGTGGTAGGAATTGTGCCCTACAGCAGGTTTTAATTTGCTGAATCACAAAAGCTTTGGCATCTCAAATTAGCAAAACGGTTATGCAGTGTCAGAAAATGAGATCACAAACTTTCACTCTGGCCAACCAGAGATTATATGGGGGGGGGAGGATCCCTAAAGCCCAGAGAAGAAACCCATTCAAAAGGGGAAGCTGGAAAGATTGGGGGGGTGGGGGGGTTGTCTGTCTGTCTGTCTGTGTGTGTGTGTATGTATATGTGTGTGTTACCTTTCTGCGGCTGCTGCAACGTAGCTCCCTCTTTCCCCGCTGGAGATGGCAGGACTTTTGAGTGGGCGGGTGGACACATCTGGCCGGGGTCCGGCTGTCCCAGGAGCTCAGGCTCTTCGCAGCTTGGTGCCTGCCCTGCTCCAGGGTCAAGGAGAGCACCAAGGGGAGGCTTTTCCTGATGAACAACGACGACGTCGGACATGGTGGCCTCAGGGCTCCCGTCGGCTGCTTCTGCTGCTGCTCCTCCTGAGGACTCCATGTTTTCTAGCTGCGGCCTGGGCAGCAGAAACACCTGGTCGCACAAGGCCTGCATAGTGATAAACCATCTTAGGTTAAAAGGTCGCCTTTGCTAGGAGCCACGCGCTGGGTGGACTTTGACAAGGCGTTTCTTCATAGCCCCCTTTTTCACCCTCAGCTGCACAATAAGACTGTCCGGCTGCATGAACGCAACTAGGGTCACGCCTGGGAAGTCTCTGGAGCAGCTGAAACCACCGTTCATCCATTTAATAGGAAAGCGAGTCCACCTTCTTTATTCCCGTTTAGCAGTTAGCCGTCCTGCATAATTCCCACGGACAGGTCTCTATTTCTGACAGATCTGAAGAAAGGAACACACCTGGACACGGAGACCCCCCTGAATCTTGAGAAACGTGTCTGTGCCGAGGCTGCCTCTTTATTTCTTTGATTTCTAAAAAGATGGGAGACCTGCCTGGCCTCAGAAGACTCTCCCCGAGCAACGGAACATCTGCAGCCATGACGATGGAAGTTGGAAGGAAGGGGACCTCCTCAGCTGCACTCGGCATGGGCCAAGATTCCTCCCTGCCTGTTGGCTGCCGTGGGAGGGGTGCTTGCTGGGGAGGGTTGACAGATGGAGAGGGGCAGTTTCGTGCTTCCCAGACGCCCGCAACTATCCTAGGGGACGCTCCCTCGGCCCTTTCCCTTCTCGTACATCTTAAGGGCCCCCGGGAGAAAAGGGCAGGGAAGGTGGCAGGGTGCAAATCTCAGAGGTTCCAAGGCCCCTCCCCTCCTTGCAAGAAAGCCCCGCCCTCCTTAGCCACTCAGACTGAGGATGCCTTTGGGGAAGGGTTATTGGTGCCACTGCAGTGCCCCTTTCCACCAGTGGCCCTGGGCCCACCCTGGTGTCCGAGAGCGGGCAGCTGCGTCGGCAGCCTTTCTGACATTCCTGCCAAACGCTGATCCCCTCTCCTTGCTCAGGATCGCCCCTAAAGTCTTGCTCATCGTCCAGGTCGTGAAAAAAAAACAGTAACACCCAAAGAGCCAACTTAGCAGGCGCCTACCTCCTTCAGTCTTGCTTGCTCCAATTTTCGCTCTGCCACTCCAAAAGTGCTGATTGTTCCCTTCCTGTTCAAGCTCCCAGCTCGTCCCCCACCCAGTTCTCTCTCTCTCTCTCTCTCACACACACACACACACACACACACACACTTCTTTTCCTGTTGGCTGTGGGCTAATCGGGCCCTTTCTGCAAACACAGCATGTTGACCTTTAACAGGCTCTGTTAATCTTCACAGCCTCTTCCTGAAGGTAGGTCTTGCTCAGAAACAGCCTATCCGACCTCCTGGGCCCCAGTGAATTTATGGACCTCTTTTCCCCCAAGAATTCCAGGAGCCGAAATATCCCTGCTTCTTCCCAGCCGCCGTGGTCAGCCCTGCCACTCTGGCCTCCTGGAAACGGCTGCCGGCCAGGAAGCCCTTCCGAGACCAGGCGTGGAAGGGGGGGGGCTTTCGGACCCAGGGGCCTTCAGAGCCCCCAACAGCGCACAGAGGTGCAACTTCTGAGTTGGTTGCAAATTAACTCCCAACGGTTTGAGGACACACGTTGCGATGCTTCAGGCTTGCACAAATTGAACAGACTGAGAGTGACCACACATTGAGGTTGACCTCAACACCCACTCAGAGGCCCCACTCAGGCCCTTTGGCCCCATTTTCTGGATCAAGGACTCTGTAGAGTCTCTGTTTCACCTTCACGGGGCCAGTCCAGGCAACGGTGCTGAGACTCACTGGAGCGTTTGGAAAGCAGCCCAGCCCCCTTTTCTCACCTGTCCAGGCTTGGAGCACAGAAATGATCTTCTCTCCTTCACACACACCTGGAGTTCCTCTCAATGGCTCATGAATTACGGAGCCTGGAGTGGACTGCCCTAAAGATGGGCTGCTTCTGCATCCAGACTGCTGCCTTGGGTGCTCAATTCCTCAGGGTGGGGGTCTCTCACTTCCCTAAAATGCCACCACAGAAACATCTGTGAAAGGGCCAAAGACGCTCACAAGAAGGGAGAGTTAACAGAGGCTCCACCAGTGGCTAATTCTGCAGGAAGCTTTTCACTTTCCTTTCTCATACTATAACCGCCATTGCCGTGACGTCTTCAGCCTGTCCTTTGGAAGCTCAAGGGGCATCTTCACTCATTTTATCCCATAAAAGCTCAAGGGAATGGAAGGGGAGCTGGACAGCAGCCCCAAAGCACCCAAGAGCCCCCACCCCACCCCGCCCCCCAAGTCATCTGAGTTCTGGAACTGGTGGAGCAAATAATTTGTCTCAGGAATGCCGGCAAATTCACAACCCATCTAGCTTCACCTCACTTCTTATCTCCTGCTTCACCACTTAGCCATCCACGAGGGGGGCTTGGAGCATGCAGGAGACGCCACCTGCATCTGGGGGGATTTTGGGGGGGCTTCCTTTCCCTGCCAAGGGCCAAGCAGAGGTGCTGCTGGACGGGGGTAGGGGAGGACCTGATGTTACACTCCTCCCTGGGCCTGGGCCAGATGACCCCTAGCCAGATGGCCAGAGGCCATATCTGCATTGGCCCCCAAAGCCTAGCGTCTCCCCAAGGCCTGCACAGGAAGGGAGGGGCCAGGAGCAGAGCCCCCCTGCTATGAATGCAGGGTCCTGGGGGTGCAGCTGAAGGCCCTCAAGGACACCTGGCTTCACAGGGCCCCTAGAAGAACTGGGAGCACCTATTTAATATGGGAATTGTTTCTAAGTTATTCCCGAGATGTTCCTTTGGTGCACCACCCTAGAGTCGATCTGACGAGATCAAATATCAGGATTGACCAATAAAAAGTGACCGAAGTGTCCATATGAGCGAAAGCAGATTCTATTCATGCCACAGAGGGCCAACACATGTCGCAGTCAGTTACTGTCCTGGCAGGGCTGGCAGAGAAGGATTGAGACCTCCCCCCCCTCCTCTCCTCTTTGCTGGAATCCTTTTGCAGGCCTGGGCTCTCCCTTCCTTCTCAGCCAAGGAAAGGGGAGGCTCAACCATCAGGAAGGGATTCTCCTTGCTGAAAAAATTCCCTATGAGGATCACCAAGCCTGTCAGAATCTAAACGGACTCTCTTCCTTCTGACAGCAAGTGTGACAGACAGTTGTGGAACTGTGGGCAGAATTGATGCCTTCATTTTGATTGGAATTCAGCCCTTGGTCACTCAGGTAGATAATCTACACTGGGAAGCGGAGGATAAACACGCTGGTTCTGCCGGATCCCTTATCAAGGACAGAACCACAGGATCCCAATCTTAAGCACTTCTGGAGTAGAAATGTGGAATAACAATATTTTAAATAGACTTTTTCGTTAGAGCATTTGATGGTGCACAACGTTCTCTTTCCAGATGCCCAGATTTGGACTTCCTTGGTTTTGCTGCACATCAAAACACAAAAACACGATCCCTCCCCTTCCAAATTCCTTTTCGGTGGATCTGCTGTTTTGAGTTTCTCTGAAAGGAAGCTGTGGACACAACCAGCGCTGGGATGGTGGGACTCCAGCGCTTCCTTTCATTGTTTCCTTTAGGACCGGCCCGTTTCCTGCTTCATTGCCCTGCCCGCTTGGCTGGATTCTCTGCAGAGTTTCTGCACCATCTGCGGAGGAACATCCACACGGGGCAGGGGCTGGGCCGGGGTTGGAGCGGAGAGCTGGACATGGGCAGCCACGGGGATTGCGGCTCTCCTCACACTGAAAGCGCGTCACGGAGTGCCTTGCTCTACGTTTAAGAAGAGCAGCTCTTGAAGAGCATTTAAGTCGCACCTCTGCACAAACTCTGGCAGTGGGGAGGTTTGGGACAGTGTCCTCTACAGCTCTGAATTCCTGTTCAGAAATGGAGATTGTGAATTACTTTGCTGAAAAGAAGGTGCCCCTCGACTCTCACTAGCAAGCCAGGGAATACTGGGCAGGAAGCAGGTCTGTGTGAAGCGGATCCTGGCTACTCCAAAAGGACTCGGAGTCTCCTTGTTGACCCTCATCAAGTGGAGGGAGGGAAGGGTCAGTTATGGACCAAGTCCACCGCTCTGTTAACAGCTTACATAATGGAAATGGGGGATGAGGAAATAAAAGAGGACACTCTACTGTGGGGTTCAGCTCATCCTCCACAAGACAGGGACAAAATTTAACATGGTTTTGAGTGAGCGAGAGAAGCAGGCTGAGAAGAACAAGCTGAAATTTACCAGAGACGAATGCAAAGTTCTTGACTTGGGAGGCAGGTTTTGCAATCCTCAGACTTGATCACAGCAGCGATGGGTGCCCAGCACTGTCTGGAGGCCTGAAGGGCCTGGCTAGGGACTGACCATCTTAGACAAATCTATCTATGTGGTGGCTAAGAGCCAATGTCGGTTTGATAGCTTATAAGCATTGTGATCAACCAGGGTTATGGGTCCAGGCCAATTCAATTAGTAGGCCCAGTTTTGCTTTTGGTAAAAAGCTACGAGTATAAGTAGTCATAAAGTACTAGCTTGTTGCATACATTTAACTGTATATCCTTGCATTTGCATTCAAAGCAGCATTTTTATCTCTCTCATTCAGAAGTAAGAAGCTTCTTGTGTAATTTTATAAACTGTCTTTCTGACAGTTCATAAATCTTTCCAGCCTTACAGAAGATAGCAAGCAAAATGTACTTTTTTCTCCTAGTAAAAGTTTGGGGGAATGTCAACCGTCAACAAACAAATGAACAAGGCCCAAAGATCAGAAACTCACAACAGCAACACCTGAAGGGCAACAGGTAGCTGGCTCTACTGGCATTGCCACAATTAACTCAGGATTAAAATGCAGGTCCACACTGAGCAAATGATGGCTTACTGGTTGGATAGCTGCATTTTTTATCCCTGTTCTTCACTACTACACTATTATTTGAATCAGAAAAGCAGGTGACATAATTTAATTTCATCACCAGGTGTAAAGCTTTTGCCTCCAAAATGTTAGAAAGTGTAACTGAAATATTTCTTCAGTTCCCCACTGTCAACCAATGTCAGCTTTTCATACCTCTACAGAAAGCTGCTAAGAAGTAAAAATGATTTCAAAAAAAGGGGGGGGAACCT